TGTCCTCTTTGCTCTTTCTGAGCTTATTTCGACTGTCCCATCCATATTTGAACAGGTGTAACAGCCCAACTGTGCACAGAAAACACGCCAAAATGAAGAGATATGCATCCTGTTCTTATAAACTATATGCAGATATTAACTATGCATTCATTGGCTTAAAATGCGTTTAGTTTAGGTTACAGTTAAAACATGCTTTTAAAGCTGCCAACTTGCAAGCAAACACTCATTAAGGATAACCGAACCGCTATTTCCAATCCAGATATAATAAGAACACATTTGATCACTTTAAAAACTACACAAACATATATTGTTCTCATGAAAAGCCATGATAACATGTTGGCTTCATGTCGGCTTCATGTCGGCTTCATGTCGGCTCTGCAGACGGACATGAATCATCCTCAGTGGCAGTGCAGGTTATTTTTTACCTTTGAGCTGTGCGGTGTCTCCCTCAGAATACACCCGGAGGATCACACACATTCACCGGGGAAGATGGTCCAGGATGTCGCGGTGGCGGTCTGCAGCTCGGCTGGTGTCCCCGGTTCTCCTTCCTTCACCGTGTCTCTGCTGTCCGGTGGAAATTGACACATTTTACTTCACTGCAGCAGCAGCAGCAGCAGCACATGCTCAGACAGACTCACGCACTTCTTGCATCTTTCGTTAACCCTTTCTATCCCGCAGCTCAGCCTGCAGACTCACTGGAGGTCCCCTCGGTCTGTGTGGATCCACAGGGTGCTGAATAGGCTTAGTTAATATTTAAGCGCATCCTAAATATTAAACACATAGGTTAGTGAAGAATTAATGACTCACCTTAAAACTTTAATTTACCCCACTTATGTAGCCTAGTTGTTAACCCTGGAAGCCCATTTCCTCCAGAAAAAGGTCATTATAATGAGAAAAAATATTATAATAATCTCTAATCTCAAAATAATGAAGTTTTTCAAAAAATAATGACTACAAATCTAAAAAATAATTAATTACAACGTCTTTTCAAGATTAAATAGCTTCAGTATTTTATGACATCAAGTCATTTATTTGAGATAGTAAGTCAATATTTTCAAAAACTTCATTTCATTATGTTGCCACAGAAGGTCATTATTTTGTGGAAAGTTTGTCATTATAATGACTAAAAGGCTATTTTTCTTCTATTTTTTCACTGGTAAATGGGCTTCCAGCAGTTGCAACTTTTGAGAAAAACGATAAATTACACATTATTTTAGCTTACACTTAGCTAGCTTAATTTAGCATAATGACTAGAAGCATAACATGTTATAGTTTCGTCTAATTTGTACACAAAACAAACAAAAATGTTAGTTTTTTTCAAACAGCTTAGCTGCTAGCTTCACATGTAGGCTATATTGATATGAGTGGTAGCAAAGTTTAATACTTTTATCTGACATCTGTTGGTGTTTGATATCCAAAATATATTTGTTCAAATAAGAAAATTGCTTAAATAAAAATATAAATCAAACCTTCACAGCTCGAGACAAATCAAGATAGTGTGGAGTCTATTTTATATAACATTACAAGAGGGATTCTTATTATTACATTATATGCTTATTGTGCTCATGAGATGTTGCTATGACTTTGGAATAAATAGACAAAATCACCAATCCCAAGTTTTGATGGGTTGGATAGGAAACAAAGGGAAAAGTCATAGAAGAAAGTTTTAGCTTGCAATATTAATGTAGCAAAAGCCAGGTGCACACTGTAGAGACAATGAGTTATTGAGGCTCTGGCTATATACAGTCTATGGGCTCTGGCCTTGGCCGCGTGTGTGTGCTCAACGCCCCCGCATAACTGGGAATCAGTGTGAATGGAGGATTCCACTGTCTGCAAAGAAACTTTAGCAAAAACAAATTACGTAGGATAGCGACAGAGTAGGGAGGGACATCACCGGCCGGCCGAATGCTGATTGGAGATCGTGTTGCCAAGAGACTTTTGTCTGTGCGCCTACCAGAGAACCAATGTCTAAAACACGGTTTCTTTCCATCTAGTCTTAACCAATCATAAATGTATTGGCAGAGCCCTGTGTAATAGCCTACAATGTATTGACCCACACAGATAACAGCTTTGCTGCCTGTGATTTCTATGACGTGACGAGTCCTTGGCCAAGTGAATATATATATTTTGCTCTCTTATAATGAATAGTTAAACTTAGAAGTTGTTTGTCTTTCCTGGAATAAAAGAACACGACAATAGCAATAGCATAGTGAAATGGCCACAGCTAGCTTTGGCTTAAACAACATTAACTGACTTTTTTCTATTCAAGTTGTATCCTGTGATTAAACATGTAAATGATAATGAACTCACATATTGACAAATAAGTATTGAATAAGGTAGTAGCAAAATCCTGTCTCAGCGAAATCATCAAACTGAAAGCTAGCCTAGCCCTAGCCTAGCATCAGCTGTTGCCATGCAGAATTCAAAATGTAGTTAAGCTAGTTTTATGTTATGCGTTTATCATGTCATAAAATTGTTTAATATATTGGTTTTATGTCATTAATAGCTATTTGTAAAGGAGATATAGAACATGTACAATTACAATACAAAACATAGCCTATCAGCATCCAATTTTCCTATTCCCTTTACATCATTTTTAAAAGACCTTGTTTCCTGACACTTTCAGACCTTTTTAGTAATTGGTTTAACCTCACTGGGCTTCCAGTGGGATAAATATTTTAGGACTTTGAAGAACAGGTGTGATCCTTCACACATATCCAGTGACACAAGTGACACCTGAGCAAATAGTGAACTCTTTTTATAGACCGTTTTAAAGAAATCAAGGACTGGTGTTTAAGTTTAACAGCCAGAAACCACTATATTATTATCAGTGATACTGTATCACTCACTATACATTTACTCTCAAAACACACTTTCATCAAATTAAAGTAATCATATGGTGTGTTTCTGCTTGAATAAGTTACAAACAAGTGCTTATAGAATGTGATAATTAAAAGTGACAGAAAACAATTTGAGACACTCCTGTTTTCTCTTATATATTCTGCCAAAAGGGTTAAAATGGTGTCAATTTTGTCCAATGAGTAATATTGATCTGAATATGCTATGATCATAAGTTGTTGGAAAAATTGTGCAGTAAAAAGTATTTTATTTACCAAATAGATGTAGGCCTACTGGAGTAGAAGCATCAAGTAACTCAAAATTGTACTTTAAACATTACTCAATGTTACTCCATAATGGATTTAAGGTAGAAATCGCCGTGCCCTTTCTGATAATGTATGCAGTAGTCAAAAGTACATCGGATAAAATAATAAACCTGATGAAATATGATAATGCTATACAGGATGCAACTGAAATATCGAACCTGATAACACCGTTTGTTCTTTCTTGTTTAAGTGGTCTTCAAAAGGAAGTTGTCCCTTTCAACAGGACATGAGTAGTTGTTTAGAGATTTGAAGAGCATTGTAATAACGTTATGTGAATGCTCACTAGGCAGATATGATTTTCGATCGGCCGTTAATGGTGGATACTAAAGATTACCTTACATTTTCCAGAGAGCCTCGTAAAGACAGGAGGGGTGCTCGCTCAGAATCATTACGTTAGCAATCAGCATCGACCTACGGATGAGTGGACTGAAAGAGAAAATAACAGCACAGGGCGTTCAAGTGCGAGCAGATACTATAAATATTGAGTTTCTCCAGAGCACTAACAATCTTAGGCAGAGATTGAAGCTAAAAGCCGAAGTCTGGATGAGAACATATTTAGAGACATGCAGATTATTTACATACAATCTGACAGTTGGAGAGAATTTCGAAAGGAAAACTGAGAGAAACCAACAATATTTTATGTGCAGGATTGATTTGATAAATTGATTTAAGGATCTATTTGACCTTGATTCCTGACTATGGTTGATCCTTCAATTCCATATTATACGTAAAGGTATTTCCCAGGGTGTTAGCAGTGGTTATACGAGGGAGAAAGAGTAATTTTGAGTAACTACATTACATGTTACTTGTTAGACGCTTTTATCCAAAGCGACTTACATACTCAATACTGTGGGCAATCCCCACAGGAGCAATTTGGGGTGAAGTGTCTTGCCCAGGGACACAACGACATGCTGACTGCAGTGGGGTTTGAACCCTGATCCGAACACCAACGCACAACCTGCACCACACAGCTACCTAAAGGTACAGTGTACACCTGTCATGGTCCTGGAGTAAAACACTTGCAATGTGTGAAGTTGGTTATTAGCGTAAACCACCCTAAATGTGATTGAGGTATAGACTTCATTTAGTGTTCTCAAGTATTTTTACACTGAATTGTAATCCAGTTGTTATTCTTAATAACTAGCCAGATACACTTTTACAAAAGGTTACACCTTAGGTTTCAATTTCAAATGTTTGAATGGTGCAGACCAATCTAAAAGATGCTGAAAGTTCTGTGTGAAAAGAAAAGTTAATTAAAAAGAAGCTTTGATATAACTGAGCAGAGCACAATATTTGTTTTAGAGTTTACACATTATATTTTTCAGATGGCTAGTTTAAGCAAAGTTCATCTTTACAAATGTTTTAGGGAAAATGCATTTAAAAACGTTACATTTCTTCAAATCACTTTTTAAAACCAATCTTTCTAAGAAAATCCTTTTATTGACGTCACCAGTTTGTTTGACCCTTCAGTTTAAAGATATTTATGTGTCACCTCTTATTTGATGGTTTGGTATTTTAATCTATTATATTTCAATCAATGTGCTGATGTGTTTTATTTACATTTTACAGATAAAGAAATGTGTAGGTTTCTTATCATATTGCAAAGTCAAGAATGAACGGTCCATATCTAAATAACATAGATGGATACAACAAAAATAACTTGTCAGCAGATGTTTGGATCTTTGTATTTTCTTATAACGACCTATGGTTGATGTTTATATCAAGACAAGCTACTTATGAACATAAAAATAAACACATTGACAAAATGACTGGACATGAAAGCAGAACACATTCTTGGCTTTTGGTTGTTTTTGAAGATTTCTTACAAAACATGGCTGTATTTTCGCATTTAATCTTGTTCCTAATACTGATCATTTTTCAGATTCAAACATATAAAGCAATTTGCAATCCACTTTGCATATACCCTGTTTGCATACGTGTGTGAGTAAGAAAACACTTTTCACCTCTGTGCACAGACACCAAAAGAAGAGGGAAAATCAATTATCTTTTTTAATTACATTATCTAAGCATAGATGCATTACTTGTGAAAAAGGTAGAAAAAACAGCAAGTCTTTCTCAATAAGTTAAACCTCTCTGGCCGAAGAGCGGGGCCGGCTCACAAAACTGAAGATTTCCCGTAAAGCATTCAAATTTGTTGAAACAAAAGACAAGGAGTTAACTCGCTGAAATTAAAAGTAGGCCTCCTTGTTGAATTTAACTTGTTAAGAAACCAAGACAAACATAGAAGATGCGTGTGGCTTATGTTACAGTCCTTCCACCCTTTTCCACAGGGCTCTGCAAGCACATTTTCCTGAAACTTCACAAGTTCCATCGTTTGATCGACAAACAATAAGCAGAGTTATAGTTGGTAAAAAAAAAAATTATAATAACAATAACAATAATTACAATGACAGTAATAACGAGAATTGTAAGTAATAAACACAGTCCTGTACAGTCAGGCTCATCTTGTGAATGACCGCAGCCAAACGTCTGATGTCTACGTCGGTCTCCAGCAGAGCGACTCGACGCTGCCGTCTGCTCAGCTGCCTCGCTGCGATCAGAGGAAACGCCTCGCCCTCTGCTGCGGAAACACACAGAGAGAAGTGGTTAGGAGCGGTGTTCTTGGTGTAACCGTTTTAGTTTACTCGGGTACTAGGGAGGGATGGGAATTTGAAAGCAAATGTATATTCGAATATTCGACCCCCAAAAAAACGGTTAGCCGATTAACCGAAATGTACATATCCTATAAAAAAAAAAAAAAAAATGTGGGAATCTTTTTCCCCAAAAAAAATAAATACATGTTCAAATAAGTATAGAAACCAAGTCGAATTTGTCAAATGTATTGAACTGGTGATCACAGTTTGAACAGTTGACAGCTATAGGCCTACAGCTTTCATGCTTAAAACATAACTTGTTTTTAAATTAAGGGGGATCATACACGAACAACATAACCTGTTAGGGTAACCTAACCCTATTACAACAGAGATCAACAACCTATAACAGGGCCTATGCACAGAATGCAGCTATTCAATATTCATTCTTGTTTAAGAATATGAGCATGTCTACTCAGGGGAGAGGCGGGTGCGGAGGCGATTCACAATCAGGCCAGCTGTAGAGAAGATCCTCTCAGCTGGAATTTGGGCATAAGATGAGGTTTGAGTCTGCGTGATCTGCGTGTAGGGAGGGGCAGCAGCCATATCATTAGCTAGAACTAGCTAGATCTGATGGATTTGGACATAAACGCGAGTGAAGTATAACCGGACGCGAGAGAGAGGGACCGCACCTGCAGCTCTGCCCGCTGTGACCGGAGAGCGGAGCAAAACACACCTTTAGACCTAACACACTTAGCTATGGCACTGTGGTATACATTGAATTATTCCATTTGATAATATGTAATCAAACTAGGCACCCCTCCCAAAAAAAAAAGAATTACAATAAAAATATTCATAACTCATATTCTCATATTCGAATACCTGAATAATTTCGAATATTCGATTAATCGTAGGGATGGGAATGATTAATCGAATATTCTAAATGATTCAGGTATTCGAATATGAATTAAATGCATACGACAGTGCCATTTTAAATATCTTAAGAAAAATATCAACAAAACTAAAAACACGTGTAACGTTCCCAGGGGTTATATCAAATCCCAACATAACCCCTGAACGTTACACTCTAACGGAGAGTCCTACACAACAAACACAATGTATTTATCATTACAACTCTCTTTTTTAAATTTTTTAATTATTATAGAATATGTACATTTCGGTTAACCGTTTTTTTGGGGGTCGAATATTAAAATATACATTTGCTTTCAAATTCCCATCCCTATCGGGTACTGTGTGTATGTTTTCCTTTTGCACAGTTTTGTTAATTAAAATGTCCCGTTAATACAAGTTTAAATTCCCAATCCTAGACATGTTGATGTTCATAGGTAAATACGTCTATATTTGGAGATTTCGAGTGAAAAAGAATAGAAAAATAAACCTTAAAAAAAAATATACAAATTCAACTAAAGAGATGAAAAAATCAGAAATGTAAATAACCAATTAGAAATTAAACAAAAAATGTAAGATAGGAATATTCCAAATCTGTATGAATATGTATACATAAAAAAACAAGTTGCAAAATAAATTTAAAAAAGGAAAGAAACGTAAAAAAAGGAAGAAATTTGACAAAGAAATGTAACCACACAAGTTTTTAAAAAAATCCTACGCTACAAAAATGATAAAACTACTATACTAATACTAAATGTTATTAACTTAACACTTATTAAAATGTTGATTTAGCAATGTGTGAACGTTATAAATGAAGTTTCAAAGCCTAGAGCTACGGCCCAACACAGAGGTAAACGAACCCTCACCTCACTGAGTTCGAGCAGACGTCGCTCCCTCAGAGCTCTCAGTCCAGCTCGTGCACCTCGTCCTGCAGGGAGACGGAGGGCCGCGGACCCTCGCTCAGACGCTTGGCCATGATGTCCCACTGTGGAGTCAGCATTTTGGATTTAGAGCCTGCAGAGGATGAAGAGAGAAGAAGAAGAGATGTTGGTTGGTCACACACAGGAGAACCTCTTCTGCCCCCTGCTGGCTCCATAGAGTAGTGATGTCTCATGAATAAACCTTCATATTCAGGTCCGTTGTTGCTGCATTCTTTAAACTACTCTAACCTTAGTTTTAAAATAACCCTTAAAAAGCTATTTATAACAACAGAAACAGTTAAAACACTCTCCTCTTCATTTGATTTGTACAGAAACAACAGCAGCCTGTTTTGAGTAAATACCACTTCACAATAGTCATTCAGAAAATTATGTTGTTGATAATCTGAAAATCACAAAAGCTAGTTCATAATTTCGCACTTCACTTACAAAGCTTGTCTGCAAACAACCATTGTAAGCTGTATTTCTCACTTTTTTACCCCATGTGCTTTGGTCTGACATGGCGGGTAATGAAAACAGCTTCATGAAATGCTGACATTGATCCAAAACAAAAGGATAGCAGGTGAGAGCAGGCTATTTTTACATTTCTGCCAGAACAAAAAGATCAGACCACGCAACTCCAGTCCTCAGAAACCTTCATTGGTTAGCTGTACAACATTACATGGTTAAAAACACCTTTTGTTCTGGCTCCACTGCACAGACTCGCTGTCACTTAACAACCCCAGCATTTACTCGTTTTCACAACACGGTCAAGAGAAGTTATTCGGGAACATACTACATTATTTGTTGGACTTTTCGACCACCGACTAAAAACTCACTCTCTGTCATTGAGTCCATTTCCTATCAAATGTAAAACTTCTATAAATTGAGGAACTATTCTACGTTTCAGCCTCAGTCCATTAGAGTTAGAGTAAATAAGATCAATTTGAGGTCTATGGAAACAAACTAAAACAATGCCACACTTATAATGACTGATAACAGGAAACATGATGGAGGCCTTCTGTCAATTCAAACCTGACATAAATGACTGAGTTAGTAAATTGGTGGTGAAAAATATGAATGAATAAAAACTAATTGCTCATACTTGATCCCATCCTAATCCCCCCCCCCCCCCCGGCCTGGGCCTGAGGACGGCTCGGCTCACAGACCGGTGAAGAAGCTCCTCTCCCTCAGGACACACTTCCTCCTCCTCCTCTCCTCTCTGTTACCATGACAACACAGACTGTAGCCTCCAGCCAAAGCAGCGAGGAGGATGATCCTCTTCCTTCCTCTTCGTCTCTCTCTCTTCCTCCCTCTTCCTCCCTCTTCGTCTCTCTCCCTCCCTCTTCTTCTCTCTCTCTAGCAGTCTCTCCCTCTCTTGATCTCAGTCTGTTTCTTCCCCCTCTCTCTTTTCACGGGGGAGAGGGGAAAGTGGGACACAACCCAAAAAAAATGTAAACCCCAACACAAACTCTGGAGCCGGCGAGTAGACATGAAGCTCAGACATGCCTTTACGCTCTTCTATACATTCAAATAATCATGTTTTTGGGAAAGGTATCAAAAGCTTCAATTGATGTGTATTTAATAAATGTTTAATTTGTATGACAGCAGTTAATAATAATAATTTATATGAAGCTTTGTCATGAAAAAATATGTTAAATTGAGTTTTAAAACGGTTTCCCTCTGCCTTGTTTCCGGTCCAGATCCAAGTATTTTCTTTCCTAAATTAAAACATTGTTCTGCTTCCAGGTAGTAATATTTCAGGTGACAAGTATAAATCATATTTGAGGGTGAAAATACATTTCTTATGAAGGATATTATGCAGTTTTTCCACTCCAATAAAATGTGATGTTTTATATTGAGTGCAAGATAAAGTCAAGACTTTAACGACCAAAAGAGCTCTACTACAGTACCATAGTGTTCAAAATCAGGGCCGCCCCTGGCCGACTTGAGGCCCCACGCAAAGTTATGTGATGTGACATGTGCTAGTGGAGCACGCGCCGGAGCCTCGCAGCAGCGAAACTGTGGCACGCTTGCAGTAATTGCGCCGCATAAGCGCATAAAAGGTGCGCTGCATTAGCGCTTCGGATGAGGCCCCCTCCGCGAGATGAGGCGCGTGATCTGCGTGTAGGGAGGGGCGGCGCTGTTCAAAATAATCAGGATTTAACATATGGAGCTCAGTGAAAGTTAAATATGTGGAAGCGAAGGCAGTAAGGAAACATAAATATAAATATATACTAAGAAGTTCCTCTCCTGTCACTCACCATCGAGTCCGTTGTGCTGTTCGTAGCTGCGTTTGCCCAGGATGGTGGGGGAGCCGTTGTTGAGGATGGGGGAGGCCTTAATGGGCGTCAGGCTGCCTGTGGAGATGGACGCTCCACGGAACGGAGGGTCTGGTTTGGCTGGACGGGGATGTGCTTCTGTTAGGGAGAGAGGGAGAGTAGAGGAAACGGGAAGAGAGGTGGAGGCAGAAAGAAAAAGGAAGAAACGGAGAGTAAAAAAGATACCAGAGGATGACACAGGGTGGTAATCACCTCCAAGGAAAACTGATTCATGAGCATTTTTCAACATTTGAAGACACTTACAAACCCTGACAAAAAGGAATAACGGTATCATAAGCGACAGAATTGAAAGATATCAAATTGCTAATGTCTTTGTTTTGAATTTTGAGCAAAACTGACTGAAAATAGAAACTCCACATAAAGTTACCTAAATACCGCACCACTGACTCCAGGGGTTTACGGTCCACAGGTTTCAGTGGTGCAGGCTTTTTCTTCTCATCTGGCAACAGCATGGCACCTGCAGACATAAAAGAAACAGTGAGTAAAAACGTAAAGAATGACGTAGTCTACATGGAGGACGGAGGGAAACGCTTACACTCTGCCTTTATGGCTGCTGTGTTGACAGGGAGGTAGGGGTGCCTGGCCAGAAACCGCGGCCTGATGATGTCATGGCAGATGCGCCGTGCCATCTGCGTCAGGCCGGTGGTCTGCAGGTAGAAAGCTTGTCGCGTCTTCACTGCACATTTGGGGCTGCCGCTGTGACGCATGGGGATGCCGTGGGGGCTCTGCAGGGACAACAGATACACAACCGTCAGCAAGAATATTCATATATAACCATTTACATGGCTAATGAGTACAAGAAGAAGTTTAATTTTCCAACAAAAACAACAAGGAATAAAAGCTTTTCTTTGGTATACATGATAACAAACAGATTATCTTTGAGTTTGAAACAGTTGGTTGGATGAAAACATACTTTTTTTTTTAAGCGTTAATGAAAATAAGATGCCCTAATGACGTACAAACTTTACCTTAGATTACAAGAGGATAAAAGGAAAGGTTTTTCTCAGGAGGATGAACTACTCCTTTAAAGGCAGGGGAAAGCTTTAGGCAAACTGTAAGGCTGTTGTTTGTAGAATAAATAAATTCAATTTCTAGTAAAGCGTGTGTGTGTGTGTGTGTGTGTGTGATTGTACCATGCTGCTGCGGTTAGGTCCAGGTCTCTCTCCATCCAGTCTTGTGGGCATCTTCAGCCCGCCGTACTTCTTCCAGTAAGTCCAACAGGAAGCACAGAGACGACACTGCATGTTGGGAGGTCCCCACGAGTACCACTGGTAGGAGCTGCTGGCTACACACACACACACACACACACGCACACACACACACACACACACACAAGCAGAGACAGAGGACAGTGAGCGCAGTGTAACAACACATAATCATGAATATGTGCTCATGTGCATGCAGGCGAAAACACAACCTTTAATCATTCATCACTGAATTAACTACAGCCTCTAAAATAACCCAAATAACACTGCAGGGCACGTAATGCTGTCCTCTCTCCTCTGTATTTTGTAAATCCAATATGTGTGTGCCACATATAAAGAATACAGCGTGGATCTGAGAACATCGTTTTTCAATTGAAAATGTTAATAGAGTGGTTCAGTAATGAGTCCTTAACCCAGAAAACACTTCCCTCGTCTCCAAGTCAATGGTTTTCTGAACGAGTTTGTAATAAGGTCTGTGGTTGACACAAGCTTCCAAGATGTTCACGTTTTGTTCTACGACATAAAATATAATGGGTCAATAGATACCCCCGCTTAATCCCTGTTGGATCAGTTCAGTATTTGGTTGTTGTATGTTAAGTTAAACATCGGAATAAAATGTCATACGTTTGACATACACTGAAACTATGTATAATACTTAAGATGCTTAACTCGTGTTTTTACAGGTAGAAAGAACACATCCCCACATTTATAGCAGAGTACATTTAATTTAAACTGGTTAAACTAAAAAAGTTCTCTTTGTTTTGTTCCTGTCTCCACATTAAACCAGCAATTTTCTCAATCTGTTTTTCCACCACATTTTCCAGAGTGGATAAAAGACCGACCTGGTGTGTTGGTTAATTAAAAAGAGGACAACCGCCTCAAACTCTCTCTGACATTTTACATTTCATACAGCTGATTATAGCGCATGTTTTGTTACGACTCTTTTAAATATAATTGCAATTGTGAATTCTACAGAATTATTACGACAATTATAGGAATCTTATGAATAAGCCCCGATGTTTGTTTTAGATTTCAAGCAGCAAAAGAAGCAGCATGTGTTGCAGGAACATGACAGCAGGGTCCCACAGGTCAGTGACTTACTGTAGCAGCTTTCACAGGCTCTGCCGAGGGCGGGGATCTGCGCTGTGCCTGGAGCCCCTGGGACCCCTGGGACTCCTGGGACTCCTGGGACCCCTGGGACACCTGGCAAACCTGGGACCCCTGGCAAACCTGGGACCCCTGGCAAACCTGGGACACCCAGGACACCTTGCACCGTTGGGACCCCTGGGACACCTTGCATCGCTGGGACCCCCGGGACCCCCTGCACCCCTGGTACACCTGCAACCGCCACTCCATTGACCAGAGCTGGTTTTAAATTGTTGCTCAGCTGGTTGGGGTTGGGCTTGTTGCTGGAGCGGGCACAGAAACAGGGAGAGGGTCAGACCAGTAAATATATACACATTAGAGCACATGTAGTTTTACATCAGCTTCAAATAAGCCAAACCATTCAAAGTACAGGCCACTAATCTTCTGCCAGAGACTGCAGTTAAACTCATATTCTACTGCAAGTGAAGTGTCGCTAGCTCTGACAACAGAAGCAGATGTTTCACTTTGACACTTATAAGCCAACCGAGCCCAAGTCTGGACCCAATCCTATTACTGCTAAATATTTAAGAATTACTCCAAGTTTGATTAAGCCTTGCTATTTTAATGACACATCTTTCCTAGCCATTACAGCAATGGTTCAGCCATCCACTGACAATATGCCAAATGAAATCTGTGCATCACATTAATGGTGTAATACGGCAGGAGAAATCAATGTGCTTGTTTCATTTCAAATACTAAAACATTATTCGTTTGTATGAGTGACTGTAAGTCCACCAGATTAGGTTGAAAGTCAAGCAGGCAAACGTATCCTTAACCTTAAAAAACATCATAGTTAAGATTGACCATTTTCCAAAACTGGACTGTGTACGACCCTTGTTGATGTATCCATGTATTTAGATAACACAATGATCTCTGATGTATTTGTATTGAACCGCATAGAAACGTGCAGAGTACTCACTAGTTAGGGATGTAGACCTGCTTCAACTTGCTCTCGGCCTCGGCTGCTTTTAATCGTTTCTGGAGCGGAGACAGGGGGTGAGGAGGAGGAGAGAGAAGAGAGAGAAGGTGAGGTTATCTTCAACAATACCCCATATGGATTACATCGATTTCAAGAGAGTTAAACTGACTTATATTCTAATATAAAGAAAATCTGACGACAGACATACTCGAGCTGAAACACGCCAAACTGTGAAGGGAGAATAAAAAAGTAAAAAAAAAATGTAAGGACAGGATTATTTTTGGGCCTTAAATTGGGCGAGAAAAAGGATGAAAAACACTAGTCAAATGTAAATTAGTTAAAAGAAGATAATCGGACATCAGGAATGAACAAAAACATCAATGTGTTACACTTGTTTTGCTTTAAAGAATACAAAATATACAGTTTACTATAATTGATAAAATATTGATTCAGATTTGTCTTAAATGCCTGAGATATAATAGATGTTTTTACCTGCTGTACATATCTGTCTGTGGTCTTCCACATGTAGTAATACTCAATAATACTCGTCAGGGACTTCCAGGGCAGCTGGAGAAAAAGAGAGGAGAGGGCACAAAGTAAACATACTTTCAGAAAGGTCACTATTACATTTGATCTCCCACGTGAAAATACTATGACTTTATAACAAACTTTATTAAATGGCACCTTTCAAATACAGTTAGAAAAGCCCTTTGCAGTGAAAACAGGTCTTGTTTGAAAGCACAAAGCAGCAACACACATAATAAAACCCAGAGTAAAACCGACAAATCGAAGTAAAACATAATTCAAAATCACAGAAAAGCAATTTAAAAAAAAATGAGGGTTTTTGAAAGTGATTTTAGAGAGATGGCCGCCCTGATCTCTTCAGAGAGGTCGATCTAAAGTGCAGGAGCCCTGACTGCACTTCAACTGAATTGTAATCATCCGTCAAGAGTTCCTTTGTATAACCACTGGTCACATGATGTGTTTGAACCCACTGGAGCTGCACCGTAAAGTTCCCTGTGAGAAGTTTGAAAGGAACATGATCTGTCAAGTGGAGGCCCCACCCAACATGGTGCTGTAGTCCTGTTGTTGGAGAGAAGGCCGGGGAGGAAGCCAGAGTGAGCCGCACTGACAGCATCCGGCCACCAGGTGGAGGAGTCGGACACACACACACACACACACACACACACACACACACACACACACACACACACACACACACACACACACACACACACAACACACACACACACACACACACACACACCACACACACACACACACACACACAACACACACACACACACACACAACACACACACACACACACACACACACACACACACACACACACACACACACACACACACACACACACACACACACACACACACACACACAACACACACACACACACACACACACACACACACACACACACACACACACACACAACACACACACACACACACACACACACACACACACACACACACACACACACACACACACACACACACACACACACACACACACACACACACACACACACACACACACACACACACACAACACACAACACACACACACACACACACACACACACAACACACACACACACACAACCTCTTGGCTTTACATTAACTGTTTTCTTTACGTCTTAAAGATATTTCTGTGGAATGTTTCTCGGGATAAATGCTCATTGTGCTTGGCTTCCAAATGTTTTCACTCTTTACTGTGGGCTAGCTGCAATCTTAGTTTATAAGACGACTATTGTGCTTAATAGATAATCTGTGTAACGTCAGCTAAATAACTCAATGAAGATCAGGAACAGTAAGGCCTTAATACTGTGGTTACTGCGTTCAGAAGCAGCAATAAATGGGGCACTATATACACACCGCGTACAGTTTTAATTAAATATATTTAATTAGATAAGCAAAAACAGTCTTTAAAAAAAAAGGCCCTAGCCACATAGACATAGTGAGAACAATTCAACATCTTGCTCCATTTCTTGCTGCAATCAATACCACTCTTTATCTGTTACCACAACTAATGTTCTAAAAATATTGACTTAATTTAAACCAATGCATTTGATTGAATCTTAATGTCTGTTGTAGTTAATGGACACAATCAAATAAGTAATTGCACTTTATGATTTTAAGAAATGATTCGACACGCAACCTGATAATCATGATGATTTCATCTAGCAACCAATTGGTGGTTCTGACGTAAGATATTTTATGATTTCTGAGATTGTAATAAAATAAATCCATTGACAAAATCCCAGCTTTAGGATATAGTTTTGGCAACAACACCTACCAGCACCAAAATAGTCCAAACAACAGCTGTTAATGTGCCTGGACATTATCTTGCAACCTCCAATATATCAAACCATTCCTTTAAATATCGGTCAGCTACTCACAAAGTCCTGCTGGATGTCGGTGAAGTCTTTGCCGTATTTCTCCAGCGCCTCCTCGAACAGGTTTGCTTCCGAGGCGCTCCACTCCTCCATCTCATCCCTGCAGAGGACGGGCCCTCCCTGAGGCACCAGCGCTGAGATGGCCCGGGTCATGTCGTAGCCCGTGGCGTGGAGGGTGTCCATAGCGTGAAACTGAACACAACATATGAACACATGTTAGTCTCATGACCCGTTAGTGTTGTTTGAAACTTCTCTGTTGACTTGTTGGGAGGAGGATGACTGAGTCCATGGACTGTATATGCAGCCCCTTGTTCAAAGGCTTTGGGCTGAGAGCGTGTGCGTGTGTGCGTGTGTGTGTGTGTGTGTGTGTGTGTGTGTGTGTAGCTTGAAGCCTCTCATCTATGTTTTATATATGAGAATGAGATCTAGGGCAGAATAGATCCACACCGGGCTTCTGGGGCCAAGCGCTTGTTGAGGATAACTACACACAAGGCTCTAGAATCACTAACACACACGTGCATTACAAGAGCTTTCTCTGATTAGCACAACTGCTACATTTTCCCTCTATAGTGTGATTCTGATTCAACCCAAGGCCGCTTTGATGTGTGTGTGTGTGTGTGTGTATGAGTTTCTCACCAAGGTGATGTCTCTGGAGGCTGCAGCTGCGCTCATGTGCAGGCTGGGCTGCCGGACTGAACTACTGCAGTCCAACGCTCTGGCGAAGGTTCCTACCGACCTACAGGACACAGATATGATGTAAATTATAAAGAAAATGTACACATAGAATGATAGAGAATCTACTTTTGGTTTTACTTTCACCATCTCCATTTAGTCATCGATGTAGTTCTTTCTGTCTGCCTTTTTCTGAACCATTTGTGCACAGCAAGAAAGGATGTCCAGTGCTTCATGATTAAATATTCAGTGTTGTAGTGTTGCAGAGCAAGTGGAACTGCAGCCAATTTGAACTGAATGTGATGATACTGCTAAGCAACCATATCTAGCTCAAAACCAGAATCACTGACTGTGATGGAAACCTCTGAAGCAACGGAGACTCAGAGAGACACGGGGAGAGCAGGAACTTTGATGGCAAACACTGATCGTTTATTTGGAGCTTTGGCTGGAGAATTCACAAGACATGTCGTGTGCCACGAGGTGACACAGCGGCTGCCAATCCAACTCTGAAGATCTCTACCCCAGACCCATGTGTTTAGCTAGTTCTGAGAGAAGAATCAACATTGTGCATAACAAGATAAAGCAGTATGACTATGTGTATAACCTCTATCAGCTGACACCAACAGGCTGGAACAGGGAGACAAAACACTGAGAGCAGCCCAAGGTTGCAGGCCTGTGCTCATTGAGGGCAGTACAGACTGATAAACTGGGTCAAATGTATGGGCCCATGAAAATATTTCCCCAACACTGAATAGTTAAGTTCCATGTCATCAGTTCGTCATTTTATCCTAGGACGCATGGCGAAATTGTCATAATAAGCTTCTGCTTTCTTAAGTTGTGGCCAAAAAATATTTGTTTTGTGAGGTCACATTTACCTCGACCTTTGTCCACTAAAATCTATCTATCTATCTATCTATCAGTTTCTCCTTGAGTCCAAGTTGACTTCGGGCCACATTTTCAAAAGTTATCTCAAAGCGCCATCATGAAATCACTGTCAAGAGAATCGGACTAGCAAGCACACACCGGGAAAAATTGCAAGGCCAATAAAAGGCAAATGTTTTAAAGAGGACCAATCATGCAAAATACACTTTTGGATGTCTTTTATACATAAATGTGTCCCCGGTGTGTCGGGGAACTCACGCAGCGTCAGAAAACAAAATCCTCTCTCTTTTCCTCCGTACCCAAATCTCTAAAAACGGGGCTACAACGGAGCTGATCCAGATTTGCAGCCGATGTGACGTAATATCGGAAATGTAGGCTGGCTTTACACCCACGGCCCTATCAGAAACGTTGCTATCAGAAACAATGCCCGACTGTTTTGGACGTAATATGGTCGGTGTTTACATTAGCATCGCTAACACTCAGAGCTAACCTCTACTGGAGAGCATGTGTGTGAAGAAGCTGGATATAAAAAGGAACTCACCTTGTGGTATAACCGGCAAGAGAGAAAGCCTTTGGGCTCCATACTGTTTCAGAAATAATCCTTGATAATCCATGATATGGCGTTTCATCACCGCAGTATTTAGTTTAGACCGTAGCTGCCGGGTCCTGCATGAGCTCAGTCCCCTCCTTATTTTTTTAAAGCTTTATACCCCAAATCATTACTTTTGAAACAGGAAGTGAAATAGAGGGATATGAGGCATGGCTAGAATGGGTGATCTGTTTGGTATTTTGAGCAAAACACTTCATAGACATGTTTTTTATTTATTTATCTGAGACCTATGCTATTGCCTAAAAATAGCATGATAGGTCCACTTTAATGAGGAATAGGACACATGGAAACTTTTCACAGGACTTTCCGGCTGGTAGCAGTCTACGAACATAAAAGGTAAGAAATGATGTCTGCTACTGCCAAAGCAGTAACTTGGTGCTATGAGGAGCTCTGAAAAACGTAACAACCTCTCATTTGAAGGAATATGCGTATTTTCTTTAATGAATAGACAAAGCTCTTAAATACGAGGCTGGAGCCATGATATGGTTAGCTTAGCTTTGCATAAAGACTGGAAGCAGCTAGCCAACTCTGCTGCAAGGTAACCAATTCACCCACTAGGGCATCTAAAGCTAACCATATATTTTTGTCTAATCTGTAAGAAAGTGTGAAAAAGACATGTTAAGGTTCAACATGAGAATGTGGGTAAAACTACCTTAAGTTTTGTCATCACAGAAAAATGTAACTGCAACCAAATTATACAGCTGAAATTTAGAGCAAGGTAACATATTAATTAACGCGCATTCGAGGTGTTGGTGGGCGGATTAACACTTGTTTCAGTCCTTATGCTTTGCAGGCTAAATTCTCTTGGATGAGGCTTTATATTCATCATAAATATACTGTATATGAGAGTCCATTTTCTCAACTAACTCCCAGCCACAGAGCATTATGTATGTATATTTTCTTCTCTCTCTTTTTTGGATTATTTGTAATCTTTTGCACTTTTGTGATGACTTACCGAGCTACTACTAAGAACTGGTCGATCTGTTTCTCCGTCAGTAGGCTGGTATAGTCCCAGACCTTCTCCTCTAGTTTCTCCAAGTCTCTGCCATCTTCCTCACCTGCACACACAGACACAGTTAAAGACACAGTTACTTCTCCTTCACTTTTCAAGGCTGCAATGCTTCTTACTGACCACACATGTGCAACAAAAATGTGCAAATTCCCTGATGTTTGATTTTCTTCCTGTTTTTCCCTCTTTTCAAATCACTTGAGTTGTGCAAAGCTATAATGAATCCCACAGTTGAATAGGTGGGTCTATCAGAACTTCTAAAAAAAAGCAACAGAATTTCACTAACATGGTTTTAATTAGAGAGCTCGGTGTCCCAACAGTGCCTAATTCTAATTTCAGAGGTTTTCCTAAATGCTAAGAATACGATTATGGCAAAACACTTAAACACGATCTGGCTGAGAAATAATCACAATTGAAATGCTGAATATCTAAACACAATACTGGCACAACATATCTTTCAGACTTGCTAGGATAAGATTTATTTTTTTGTATAAAACGGACAAGTCAAATCAAGCAATCTGATTGGTTCTTAGCCGTGGTATACTGAGCGTATACCACGGGTAGAATTGTAAGTTACTTTTCACAACAAGTCAGTATCCCTCCGCGTCTGAGATAAACAGTATACAGTTGGGCTGAAAAGCAAACTATGGAGGAGTGGATTGAGGAGTGCCTATCTCCAGAACTAAAAGCACCTAAACGACGACATGCAGAGCTACGTGAAGAGCAGGTAGGCCAACTGGAAAAGTATCACCATTCAAAAGCTTTCTGATGCGGGTCTTGAAACAAAGCAGAGAAATTATGACCGTTAGTGGCCACAGGTGCGAAAGCTCTCTCCAGAGCTACTGGAAGCCGAATCTCGGGGACCGGAGAAAGTGGAGCAATATTCTCGCCACGCCAAGCAACAGCCTAGAACAACCTCAGCCTATACAAGTAACCACGTAAGCCATGCTACTGATGCTGGACAGTTTTTCAGTGGGTGCACAATAAACGGCAACATACAAATTAATGTAAATAAATAGCCAAATAATGGATCAACGCTCTCTGTTCGCTTGCTGTTGTTAGTGTTGTTGCATAGCAACCACCTCGCACTATGTTTTGTGCAGAAGGCAACGGAGGGACTATTTTATTTTGAACATCATTATTTAATAATAACAACTATTTAAATTAGAGTGTGTATTTTTCATTCATATTGCCACACTTGGTAACCGTTTTATAAAAGCAATAGCTCACTTCAGGCCGTGATATATGGCCATTATATCACAGTTAAGGGGGTTGTCGACCCTCCGCTTCGCGTCGGGCCGAACCACGCCCCTTAACTGTGATATAATGGCCATATACCACGGCCTGTCGTGAGCTATTGCTTAAGTATATTATGGAAGTTACAAAGAAGAAACACTCGTCGTAAGGGGTAATCTCATTAGCCAAATTATAATTAGGCCACATACGCATTAGGGATGGGAATTTGAAAGCAAATGTATATTTGAATATTCGACCCCCAAAAAACGGTTAACCGATTAACCGAAATGTACATATCCTATAAAAAAATGTTTGGGGGGAAAAATGTTTACAATTTTTATTTTTCAAAATAAATAAATACATGTTCAAATAAGTATAGAAACCAAGTCGAATTTGTCAAATGTATTGACCTGGTGATCACAGTTTGAACAGTGGACGGCTATAGGCCTGCTTTCATGCATAACTCATTGTTGTTTAGGCTGCCCACTCATGTGTCGCGAGCGTTGACGGGGGGCGGGAGCCCGCTCGTGAACTGTTAGCGCCGGAACCTCGCAACGGGGTAACTGCGGAGCGCATTTGGGCATAAGATGAGGTTTGAGTCTGCGTGATCTGCGTGTAGGGAGGGGCAGCAGCCATATCATTAGCGAGAACTAGCTAGATCTGATGGATTTGGACATAAACGCGAGTGAAGTATAACCGGACGCGAGAGAGAGAGAGATCAGCACCTGCAGCTCTGCCCTCTGTGACCGGAGAGCGGAGCAAAACACACCTTTAGACCTAACACACTTAGCTATGGCACTGTCGTATACATTGAATTATTCCATTTGATAATATGTAATCAACTTAGGCACCCCTCCCAAAAAAAAGAAGAAGAAATTACAATAAAAATATTCATAACTCATATTCTCATACCTGAATAATTTCGAATATTCGATTAATCGTTCCCATCCCTAATACGCATTACTTTCAGCTTTCAGATGCTTTCAGACAGCGAGAAGCAGCTTCCATTGTTATCGATGTAAACCAAGCTCAGTGGCAGCCGTTTATGAATGCACACAGGACAGGTATTTTCTGCACTCTATCATGCATTTTGTGACGGTTCAACGTTTTCAACTTAAAAAACGTTAAAACATAAAAGCTTGACGAGGGAAACAAAACATGAGCTAATTTGACTGTTTCCGATTCTCTAAATGATTCAGAGGGATTAATGGAGAAAAGACAGTATCGACCTTAATGACACTAGTTAGTAAAAGCTGCTTTATTTATTGTACAGTAATACCCATTTCTTCTATTTTAAGATAAGAGTTACTATGTTTACCCGTAGAATGAGATTACTGGGAGTAGACTTTATGAGAGCACCTTCAGATTAAGGCTTAAAACTAAACAGCTGTCATGTGGATATAAATGTTGTGTTTGCCAACAATATTTGAGTACAGGGCTCATTATAGTCAGATGATTCAGCTACAGCTTGCATGCAGGCGTACAGGTTGCCCTTTATAGAGAGGCGAAGTCCCGCCCATCTACTTCCGACCCATGGGAATTTATTTTGGAAAAATGATGTATTGAAGTCAATGGGGAGAGAAAGATTATCTTTTGATCCCGTTTCAATTGTGCCATGAATTACACATATGATGTTTGTCAATCTTAAAAAATCATTTCCAAGTCAAAAAGGTCAGTGTTTGTCGTAAAACTGTTGAAATATAAGACTATGAAAAATACGCAACTAGAAAGACTACAAATCCCAGAATCCCGGTCCGGTCCCCTTGTGTGTATGTACAGCTCTCAACATGCTTGTAGTGATTTTCACCTCTTTTAATACTTTTCGCCTCACTCTGAAAGAAAGAAGTGAAATGTGCTAACGTCACGGCCGTCTTGGTGTGTGGTGCGAGACGGGAGATGTAGCTCATTGAGCTAAAAAAGTGTTACTTCACATTTTAATTTTTTTGACTTGCAAAATTATCTTTTAAATTGACAAACATCATACGTGTAATTCGTGGCACAATTCAAACGGGATCGAAAGATAATCTTTCACCTCTCTATAAATAGGGAAATGGGAACTTGAACCAGTTTTCTAGTAAAAGTTACAATAAAATATATTTTCAATTCAAATGAGGCACCCCATCCTTTCAATACTGGTGGGGTGACATTAAAATGTGCAGCACATTAACATTAATCAGTTCTTCTAAATGCTTTTTATCATTTAATTGTGCCGTTTAGTAGCCATGGAAACCAAGGTTAGTTTTTTTCAAAAAGTGAGTTCGTAAGGAAGCTTGGGGCAGAAAAAGGTTGCATACAGTTAATGAAATTTCCCTGAGAATTGAACAGCAACAAAAACATGAAAAGTTAACAAGTTAATTTGAGTTGAGGATAGATTGCTCCAAACGATCATTCAGTACCCAGGAGGGTAAAAAGACCCCTGAAGGAAGAGCATTATAATGTGTTGCTCTGTGAATAAGCTTCTCTAGGAAAACTGTGTCAATTAAACAAAAATAATTGAAGTATATTGTACCTTCTTTCAGGAGGTCGGTGATGTCGGCCTGGTACTTGTTCCCGACGCGGATCTCCCCCTTATCAGCCAGCAGGGTCTTCTGCTGAGGGTCATACACCAGCGAGTAGAAGAAGGCATCCTGGGAAATACAGATGGCAGGAAGGCGTGAGGATGGTATGAAAGAAACAGGAAGCGAGACGGGCAAACGGAGAGGCGAAAGAGAGGAGTGTGTGTGCGTGTGCGTGTGTATCTTCCCCTCTGCTAGTCTCTCGTCTCCTCATTACTGTATGTGAAAAGAACATTCTGGGTCAACACGTTGAATAATTCATCTGGAAACAAGAATCTCTTAACTCATACGTTTCTCACAGACACACTCTTAAATAATCAGTTATCTCGCCCACCTAATCAAAGTTTAGGAGATCCTGTCTTATTATTTTTAGCGTGAAGATCTGATGGTACGTACCTCTCTGTCCAGGTAAGACTTCAGGGCTTCTGTCTCGTTCAGCAGAGTCACACAGCACTTCCCCCTGGAGTCCAGAAGGGATGTAAGGAAAGGAAGAAAGGGAAAAAGAGAAGGGAAAGAACATGGAGAATGAAAGAGGGAACATTTTTTACATGTGAAACACAGGACTTGTGTACCCTGTCTGAGAGAACTCCTCGGTGTAGGATGCATTAACAAGCAGCAACAATTACATTGATTTGTAGTGCGATGGAAACGTTTTCAATGCAGTGTTGTTTTTTTGTTTTGCACAACACCCAAAAAAGGAAAATAAGTGTGATTTTTTTTGGACATATTGGAATGATAAATGTGTTTGATTTCAATACTTTCAATATTTTAATTTACATTACATGTTAGACGTTTTTATCCAAAGCGACTTACATACTCAATACTGTGGACAATCCTCACAGGAGCAATTTGGGGTGAAGTGTCTCAGGGACACAACGACATGCTGACTGATCCGAACACCAACGCACTAATCCACTGCGCCACACGCCCCCCTACATAATTGTTTTTATTTTATTTAAAGAGACCATATAAAAGAGGGAATTAAATCATAATAAAATAAAATAACCTACACATATGAATTAAATTAACATTTTGATTCATATATCGGGATGTCATCAACATGTCTGTGAACATAGAATCCGTCAGTGGCTGTGTGATTGTTGAAATTAAACCAGTGAAAGAGGGTTGCTCTTGTTGCAGTACGAGCATTTAGTCTCATTTTGTTCACTCCCTCACCAGGGAGTGAACAAAAGTGAGTTAACTGCTTGATTTGAAAGCTTTAGATACAAAGGAAGCGTACGTAGCAACAACACTGGATTTGGTTTCAGCTGGCCGAGCCCGTTCATTCGAGTGTGTTGACACTACGGTGTGTCTCCAAATTATTTACCAGCGAGGTATTCATACCTCTCTAGCCCCGGGCGAACAGGGTGATAAACTGGAACACCTTCTGTAACCTCGCTGCTGCAGCACGGAGCGAGGTGTCAACTTAGAGAACTTAAATCAAGATTTGAATCCTCTCTAAACCAAACGACTCATCACAGTTATTTTTATTCAAGCAGATGTCAGTTTGCTCTCCCAGCCACTCCTCAGAAATGTCAAGTAATAAGGTGGTAATGATTATGTGGGTTTGCCTGGAGCTGCTCCCTGATGAGCAGAACATTTCTATATGTAGACACAGCTCTCTGTTGACATTTAGTGCTCATTGTGCTCCCTGAATTTCAGAGGATTGTTTTATGTCTGAGTTTGAGACTGAAAGCTGATTCCAAACTATCTTTCGGCCGTCATATATGTGTAGCAGATAATGTAAGTGAAGGAATCAATAAATAATCTCATCATCCTCATCCTCCAAGTGAAGGAGTGACGTTTTCACAGCCACACAAAGTGTTTGACTAATTTGTCAAAGTTCATTAAAAACACAGTATGATCGAGATGAAAGTAGCATTTGCTGCATTAATGCTACCTGGGATTTTGTTCCCAATAGAGCTGCAGCGTTATGTAAATCAGTCTAAAATCGAGCGAAAAATGATCTACTTTCAAAAAGGTATTCATCGATTTTAGTAACAAAAGTTCTGAAATGTTAGAACATGCTGCTCGTCCTGATCCTAGATTGTAGTAAAAGAAAGGGTTTTTTGTTGCTTTTGGGTTTGTAGTTGGAAAAAACAAGACATTTAAAGAAATAACCCTGTGCATGCTAAGTATTGACCCGTTATCAGAGAAATGTGAGTTTGACTGACTGCTCCGTTAACATCCGTATAGATCAGGAGTCGGCAACCCGCGGCTCTTTAAGCCCTCTGCTTGAGTTTAGACACAAATAAGAAGGAAATAAAATAAAAGTATTTGTAGGACTATTTATATTTTGTTGCACGGTTGAAAATGTTTCGTATCTTGTATTTTGAGGTGATACTGTGACACAAATAAAAAACAAAACGGTTTTAATTAGGTCAACTAAAATATGCGTCACATCCTGCTACGGTCCCGCGCTAGCGCCTCGTCTTGCAGGTGAATAACCGGACCCCCGGCTCGATGAGCGAACTATGGATAAATAAAAAAAAATAAAAGTATCGGAGGAACACAGAGGGTTTAATTCTGCGTGGTTAGAGTTATGCTTTCACAGCAAACGATGCTGGCTTACCGGTATGTTTGATATGTGGAGAGAAGTTGTCAAAGTTGCTGCAGCCTTTACGTATGGAGGAAAAACACGGAAGAGGAAGACCGCTGACGATCTTCAGTCATAATTCAATCACAACTATTTTTAGGGTGCAGCTATACGTTTTATTTATTTCAGAGTGGGCCTATTTTAATTGTATTTTTTTTCCTTCAAATGTGCAGAGGACTCCCCAAGTGCTGTGTTGATTTATTTTAAAGTAGGCCTGTGTATTTTATTCTCCTTATAAGAGTTCTTTGTTTCTTATTAGAGGTCAACAATTTTATAATGTAATGAATAATAAATGCAAAAGAACTGTAGTTTTTTGTCTATGATATAACAATAAATACAACTTTATAAGCTATCAAATATGTTTTGCGGCTCCAGACAAAACAAATTGTTGGAAAAGGGGGCAAAATGGCTCTTTTGGTCAAAAAGGTTGCAGACCCCTGGTATCGATGAACACACTTGTCATAATGCATTTGCTGCTCAAGGTAAATGAGTATTTTCTGTGGTACAGACAAATAAACCAGGACTGTAAATCTTAAAGGGGACCTATCATGCAAAATGCACTTTTGTACGTCTTTTATACATGAATATGTGTCCCCGGTGTTCCAGGGAACTCACCAAGTGTCAGAAAACACAACCCTCTCTATTTTCCTCCATACCCAAATCTCTAAAAAAGGGGCTGCAACGGATCTGATAAAAACTGATCCAGATTTGAACACTGTCCTGACGTCAGGACGGTGGCGCTACGGCTATTGGGCCAACTCCACCAATCAGGAGGAGACAACCACGGCATTGCCGTTCGAAAGCGCTGGAGACGCTGTAGTACATATGCCAGGCCTGTAGGTGGTGCTGTTCTCACAGAATCAGCCCTTGCAAAAACAGAGCTAAATAAGTGCAAATTGAGCGAAATGAGGCATGGCTAAAATGCATGATCTGTTTGGTATTTTGAAAAATAAAAAGTATAAATATGCCTTATATAGGTACACTATATTCAAATATAGCATGATATGTCCACTTTAAGGAGGACAATTTAAAATGTAAATTTAACAGTCTAAATGACTATAATGTTTTTTTTATTATTTTTTAAATCAAGTGAAAAGTATTCCGACATTGATACAAGTTAATTGTATTTTTTGCCGTTACCACATTTTTTTTGACTTGTTTTGAGTTTGTTTACAATCAATTTCAAGGAAGGTTTTTTTTTGGGGGGGGGGGAATGTTTTGGGAGCCACTAGTAGCCCAAAGGAATTGCTTCAGTCACAGCTTGGTATAGGTATGTGTTATCAAAACAGCGCTCTGTGTGGGACCAAAACTCTCAAAAGAAAGCAAAACAGACTGAAGTGAAACAGATGGTTTGTGGAGCAGGGGCAGCGTACCTGATGTGTGTGGCAGGTAAAGACTCCAGTTGGCGGGACAGGAAGAGCTCTCGGTGTCTGAGCTGGTGTTTGTGTTTCTCGGGGAGGTCCGCCATCTCTGGATTCTCCATCTCCTCTTCCAGCTCCCCTGGGGGTTAGAGAGGGTCAAAGGTCAAACGTATACCCATCGAATGAGGTGGAAGAATGACGTCCGCAGGGGAAACAGGAGAGTGGGAGGCGATGTAAATGTATCGGCTGCAGCAACAAACAGTCTCAGATGCACGACGAGATTTAAAGCACATGATGCACACTTTATGAGCCGGAACAATAGAGACCTCGGGGGGAAAGGGACTCGTGTATGCGCACAGGAATTTTACATTTATCCCGCTGATTATGTCTTCATGTGACCTGCGATATGAATATGGCTAAGGGTTTCTCCTCCATTACTGTATTTCACAACTTGAATACAAAAGTCATGCCACACCACTCAGGATTCTCCATCATTTTAATGCCCACCAACTGTGTTTCCATTGCACTATTATTTAGGTAATCTCATGTATTTCACATTTGTAAAGTAAAAAAAGAAATCACCATTGTAGAGTGTACTCTTCTGTTGTTATCCATTTAGAGCAGCAAAAGGACACAGCAGGGGATCCTGTAGCTTCCATTGAGAAAAGTTGAACACAAAGCTGTTTTTTCAAAGATGGAGAGATCTACTTTTTGAGACTTGCCGTGTTGAAATTTGAAGAAACATAAATAATTAAAAACTCAAATTAAGCAGATTTTCCCAGCAGAATTGATTTATTAATACTTTTAATCATGTGAATTACTTGGAGCAAACAGTTGCAATGAATTAATAATGGCAAAAATAACCAAATGAACAGAAATTTTAGGTCTGCTTGGATTTGTGTGCATTCAGTATGAACCAATCCTGGCTGCAGCTCTGTAGGAGCACAGTAGGAGACTAGAAAGGTCTTTGTACAATGTCTGCTCTTATATCTTAACAAGAACACATTTTAGTTTAAGCCTGTGAGAAATATCTGTGAGGTATCAGTTTCAGTCATGTTTGCTGTCACCCCAGTGCAATGGAGTTGAAAGTAATTTACATGCTGCTGAATCACTTACAAAACATTTAAAACACTCAACTAAGGATGTCACACACAATTTGACGCCTAAAAAAAAATATGTTTTCACATTCTTTGCAAAACTTGCATAGTTTCCTTTCAGGCTGGTGATCTTGAATTAATTGTTACTAATTCACCAGAGCATTGTGTCAGGAGCATGAATTTCCAAGATTTTTTTTTTTTATTGCAGGTGTAACCTTGAGTATCCTGGTTACCTGGACAAAAAGAATCGCTGGTGAAAAACTCTCTTGGATAATCGGTCTGAAAACGGATGGACAGAGCGGCAGTTGAAGGGCTATCAGCCCATTTGAGTCGGCTATGTGTCTGAGTCATCCTATAAGAATAGATTTAACCGCTGCTTGTAGGCAACATCACCGACGCTTCCTCATATGAGGATGAGGAGGAAATGGAGGTGGGAGAAGAGGAAAGAGGAGATAAAAGAAAGCGAGATGGACAGGAAAAGAGATCAACAGAGAGACACATTGGAGAATACAAAGGGAGGAAGACAGAGAGACAGCGAGGAAGAGGGGAGGAAGGGGAGCAATAGAGAAATCAGCAGGGAAAACAGGGGGGGGAGCCAGAGAGAGAGTAAGTGCAACAGAGAGGAGGAAGAGCAGTCAGTACGTGCTCCAATTCATTTGGAGTTTCATTAGAGGAAGCGAGACAGAAAGAGGGAGACGGGGAGCAGAACAAAAGCAATCAAGGGATTTTCAGGAGAAGAGATGTGTGGCCAAAATCAATAAGTACTCCTTCACTCACTCTGCCCAGCACTCAGAAGACACACTATCAGTGCAACACACACACACGTGCCACACACACACGTGCCACACACACACGTGCCACACACACACGTGCCACACACACACACACACACACACACACACCACACACACGTGCCACACACACACGTGCCACACACACACGTGCCACACACACACGTGCCACACACACACACACACACACACACACACACACACACACACACACACACACACACACACACACACACACACACACACACACACACACACCACACACACACACACACACACACACACACACACACACACACACACACACACACACACACACACACACACACACACACACACACACACACACACACACACACACACACACAAACAAATATGGACTAAGGTTATTAATAAAAGGGAAAAACAACATTACAAAAGGGAACAAGAAGGTGAAGTGGGGAGACAAACATGAAGTGTGTGTTAGAAATGCATCTATGTGTGTGCAACATGATAAAAACATGCGAGTAGCTAAATATTACATTTTGTGCTCGTACATATTTAAATTGACATTTTAAGGTTCATGTTCCAGTAGTAATCCGGCTCAGCGGCTCATAATGAGCTCCTGACTGGTGCTGCCGGTGGAGTTTCCCCTACATTAGGCATGAAAATCTATAAAACTGCAAACTGAATCACATCGCAAAAGAAGTGAATTCATTATTGGCCAAACTAGCTTTTACTGAGAGGGGGGGCGTAGGGATGAGACTTACACACTAGTCCCTGCAAAATATAACCAAGAGGAGGATATTTGTGTGCATTTTTTGACAGAGAATCAGTTTAAACATGAATGAAAAGACAACTGAAGGACAGCGTTCGTTAAGTTATACGGGAACTTTGTCGCAGTCTGTCCTTCTAACAGAGACGAGTTTTAAATAGAGCTAAACAACAGCTCTCAAGCAGACTGATGGCAAGATGTACAATTTTAGAGTAAACACTTTTAATCCAGGCTTTCCTGCAGGAAATTGGTTAGCAGAGCTAGAGAGTGCTGCCCATCTGACAGAGAGTTAGGGTTGTTGTCACCATTTTCCTATCATGTTAAAACTCTAAAGTTTGTTTTCCTCTCTCTCTCTCTCGTTTGTTATTAAGATGTGCTGCTTTGATTAATTACTGCAAAGTGAAGGTACAATATGATGCATTAATCACTCATCTGCTGAGCTGAATCAGACAGGTCCTGACACGTCAGATGATTTATGCGGCAACAATTAGTTTTCTTATTATGATGTTCTGAATTTTGGGGGAACTTTATTTGAAAGCCATCAGCATAGACTTAAATAGAACATGACACAAACTGGGGACGTTACGCTTTATGTCCGGCACCTTAACCTGTTAAGCCCAGAGCCTGTTTTTCAGGTTTCAGGCTCGAAAATGACATGTCCAAAACAAATGACTACAACTTAACTTCTAAAAGGGTTATATGAATAATTTATTTTATCAAAGTAAGGTTACATCTGTGAGTTGGATGTAGAAGTGTCAGAATCAATATAGATTTTTCTCAGTCAGAGTAAATTCAGATGGAACATAGCAAAAAAAGGTAAATTCTTACCTCCGCCTAAAGAAAAAACATTACTTAGTGAAAACCACCCTTGAATGATGGGATGGTAGACTAAAAGCTTTAGGAATCCAAAATATAACATATAATAAGTACCCTGTATCAAGATTGAGGCAAAACAAGTTAAATTTGACCTTTTTAGAGAGGTTTAGCAAAAAAAAGTTCCAGGCGGAATAAGCTTTCGGCACATTTGGGTACATCTGGTTCCATCAGTGCCATTTGACCTTTTTCAGGTACCAGACTATAAAAATTGTGTATTACATTGAATTATCACCATAGGTATTCATTCCATCCAAAGAAAACAAAATTAAAATGTAAAAAAAAATTAACGTTTTTTTTTTTTTTTTTAAAGAAAAAAAAAAGACCCGCCGACGGGGTCTTTGGGGCTTAACAGGTTAACATCCCTTTAATAGGTTCTGTTTTCTGTGTGATGCCTCAACTGCCTAATAAAGCATATATATATATATATATATAAAAAAAGTATATATAATATTTCTGAAAAGCTAATAAACTGTTTCAGGCAATGTACTTACAAACACTGCGAACAAAAAAAAAATATATATAAGCTCGCACCGACCATAGATTATAAAAAGGAAATTATACAAATGCAGACAAGAGTATATTATTTTAACTTAAAGAAAATACCTTAAGCACGGAGGAGATGTACCAGTTGCTCTGATGTTTATCCGAGGAGGCATTTTTTTTTACTTGACAAAAAAGGAGGACATTTTTTTAGACTAAAACTTTAAAATATGATTTGTTCTGTCTACTGTGTTTGAACAAAATATACTGCATGTATGTTCGTCAGCAGCTGTTTGAGGTTTCCCCCTTTAATAACTCAGTAAAGGTTATTTTTTTTGTTTTTTATCCCAATACAGGGTCTGCATCTCTGTACGTACCAGGGTTTCCATTAGCCGGTAATTACCGGTTTTTAGCTGGTAACATTTATTAAAAACCGGTAAATTAAAAACCTGCCGGTCAAAATGTCCGGTAATAATTAGGGATGCTCCGATCGATCAGCTGCTGCTGAGTCTGACGGAGACAAGCAGCTCTGCATGATCACCTGAAGCCCCGCCCACTGTTTAGCAAGCTGCATGAGAAACTGACGGGCTGTCAGGAGAGAGGAAAAGAGAGGCTCCGTTTCTCCCGTGTTATTATCCAAAGTTAATGTAAACTTTTGAATAATGTACTTCATCTACTATAAGTAGTTTGTTTGAATGTAATAATTATGTTTGTTGTTTGTGGAAGCGCATCATTTATTGAAAAATTAATCTGAACTTTTCAATCTGTTACGATTATAAACTGAAGCAATATAAAAATGAGCCCCATTAACTGAGTTTTAAACATCAGCACATCCGGTCATAGTCCGGTAATTACCTGCTAATGGAAACTCTGCTACACAATTATTATTATTATTATTGAAACATGATCGGTAAGTTTCAAATTTGTCCGGTAAAATAAATTGTTTCCGGACATTTGACCGGCAAGAAAAAATATGCATATATGCATGGTTTTACACACAGTATCCAGACTGTGTGGTTCATCATCTCCTCCATCTGGACCCTGGCTGAGCGTCCTTGAGTAGCAACTCAACTCCCCAACCTCAGTCCTTCTCCTCTGCTCCTCTGAGCCAATCTCCTGGCACTGCACCCACACCATACTC